AGGAAAAAACCAATCCCCTTTTATTATTCACAGACCTGAGTAAAATGTCCAAAGGCAAACAAAACACAGTTCACAGAAACTCGATTCCTCAACACGAATGGCTCTTTTCGGCAGCCAGTACCTCCCACGCCTTCCCTTTTATTATGCAGCCCAAGGTGTGGCTTCCTAATGCCTTCTCCTTTGCCTTTGGAGCCGCCCCATTGCATCCCTCTGTTCTCCTCTCTTTGCCTGCCTGCATGTTCGTGCATCCTGGATTTGTCCCAGCTGTTCTTCAGCACTGAGCAACTCAGGCTCCCAGCACAGCTGTGTCTCAGCCTGAGCGCGAGTAGAGGGGCCAGGCTCCTCGTCCGACTGTAAGTCTTGGAGCTCCTCAGAGCCTTCCTCTACTCTAACGTCACTCCAGGCCTCTCCTCCTCCTCTGATTCCTCAGACTCAGCTGCCGGGTCCACTGGCTGGCGAGGGATCACAACAGATTGCACAAATTATTCTTGTATGCCCAAATGCCTCAGATCTGCCTAAAATCTGTACAGGCAGTCCTCAACTTACAACAGTTCATTCAGTGGCCGTTCAAAGTTACGATGACAATGAAAAAAGTGACTGACGACCGGTTTTCACAGTTGCGCCCTTTGAAGCATCCCCCCAGTCACGTGATCAAGATTCAGACGCTCGGCAACTGGTTCATATTTAGGACGGTTGCTGTGTCCCGGGGATTGTGTGATCCCCTTTTGCGACCTTCTAACAAGTGAAGTTCAATGGGGGAAGCTTAACAACTGTGTTACTAACTTAGCAACGGCAGTGATTCACTTAAGAACTGAGGCAAAAAAGGTCGTAAAATGGGGCAAAACTCACTTAAGAAATGTCTCCACGAACAACAGAAAATTTGGGGCCCCATCGCGGTCGTAAGTAGAGGACTCCCTGTATGTGCTCTGTGCGTGAAATAACTCGAGCATTAATCTCTGCAGATCTTCCTGATGGAGGAGCCGAACACTTCGCAAAGACTGTCTCGCACTTAAAAAAAAGGTAAAGGGGAGAATTGTGGATACGCTGGGTGCGAAACTTCGAGATTGCCCGAAGTAGCCATCTTGACTTTTGTGCCCGTTCGCACATCTTCCTCGTCTTTTGCAGGAATCCCCGAATTCTCGTGGAATGCTTAACCCCTGACTTCCGTGGAGATCTCAGAGCGGTGGAGAAAGTGGCTTCCTCTGGATTGGATGTCTACGCCCACAACGTGGAGACCGTTCCCGCATTGCAGAGGTGATGAAAGGTGATCTTTCAGCCGGGAAGATGCCCTCGTTCGGAGGGACATTTTGGTGGCGCAAGAAAGCTAGAATTAAATTGAAAATGTTACAAGAAGCCAAGGGAAATGGAGGTTTTGGCTTGCCAGAATGGGTTTTATATTATCAAGCGTCCGTGCTAAAAGAACGGATAACTCTTAGAAATAAAAGATTGCTGTACTTGGAGGGACAGGACCTACAACTTG